CCGGCCCTGGCCCGGCCCGGCCCTGGTCCTGCCCCACTGCCCGGCCCTGGCTCCGCCGCCGCTGGCAGATCCAAAATTATCCCTCGCAGAACAACGCGTGGACACTTTGCCTGCGCCTGCAAGCGCTCATTACCCTGAACAGATGCTACCAGGCTTTGAAGGCACTTGGCATAACCCAGGTAGCCAATATTAATCATGACTGCTCTTTGAAATGGCCAAGGCAGCCCGTCAAGCCGCCTCCCCCGCCGCCGTCAGGACCATCCTGGTCCCAGCTGCAGGCACCGCTCGTCCAGAGAGGCTTCCTGAGAGCAAAGGCAGGCAGCGCACTCCCGGGGAGGGCAGAGAGACATCAGAAAGGAAGAAAGCTGGAGATAAAGCTTTAAAGAGCTAGAGGTCTTCAGCCCAGGGACGAGAAAACGGAGGGAAACTTAGTAGCAGCAGTCAAAACCTCAGAAGGCTCAGGCAAAGAGAAAGGAAATAACTCGGATCTCCAGGCCATCTGTGGGTGTCAAGATAAATAGTGCTTTATTTGCAACAAGAAAGATTGGAGTTATCTGTTAGCAAAAAGCTTTCCAACGGTAAGGATGGCAAACATCATAACAACTTGTCCAGGGAGGTTTTACTGCCCCATCCAGGGGCAGGGCAATAAATTAGCTGTCCTATTTAAGCAATCTGTAGCCTGGTTTTATATTGCTCTATGACTCCCACTTGGCTGATAGTGAACATAAGTCATAAACCCCACAGGAACTCAGTATTATTTTATGTGCCGTTTGCAGTCATGAGACACTGGTACAAACATCTGGCACAAGATACAAGGCACTAGAAAATGAGGCCTAAGAGAGTCATATCCTGTGAAGAATAGTTCATACATATTACTTTAAAACCTCAAATATGTCATCACTACATACATTTATTATCAGTAGTTAGTACAACTTTAGTAGTTGGAAAAAGTAAAGCTGATTAACTGCCTTATTTGTAATCACACACATCAGTAAGGGAAGAAGGAATAGAAACAGTGATATCTTAATTTCTACTGCCTCTCTTTACTATCACCTAGTTTACCTAGCTTCTCTCTTAGACCTGTCCTTATGTTTGTTTGGGGTTTTTTAGGCAAAAGTGTCTCTTCACTGTGCAGTCTCTCAAGGCAGAAAACCACATGGCAAGTCAGCTTCCCAACAAGACGTTCTGCTGAATCTCGTAAGAGGTGCATAAGAATCTTTGGGGGCAGGATGGCAGCTACAAGAATGCAGCTCCTGTTGGTACTTGCAGTCATTTACATGTGGTGGTGGGAGGAATTTTAAATTACCTAAACTCCTAACTATGAGTTGTATTCTGTGTGTAAATCAGAGTGGGGGTTACTTCCCAACAGGACTGGTAAAATCCTAGATAAGCAAAAGCGAGCTGCGATAATGCAGTGTTTTGTGTATTAGATTCACAATTAAAATGTTTACAAAGTGTACCAGAGGCATAATAATTAATGGTATCAGAGTATATAAAAATACAGGGAAGCAAGGGGTGTTGACCGGCAGCATTTATAGATTTAGCAAAGCTCAGGCTGAGTTCTCAAGTGACCTTAAAAAATTGATCATCTCACTGAAATAGAACTGGAGATGAATGCCTGTTCCTTTTTGACTGTCTCATTTTCCAAGTTTCCTAGTTCACTACCTATGAAGTAATGTTTTCCTTCCATTTTTATTTCCTTCATTCTTTCTTTTTTCTCCCAGTCCTTTGCACCCCCTTTTCTTTAATCCTTTTTCTGCCTTTCTTTTTATTCTCCTGAAACTTAATTAAAACTGGAAAAATTATGTTCTAAAAATGCTTTCAGCATACTACTGTTTTCCCAAATTTTCAAAGCTTTCATTAGTCTAACAGCATAATGGATGTGATAACAGTTTTATTTAATGTAAAAGGTAAAATTCCTAGGAATAGCTAAGTAACTACTGATCTCGTTTCAGAAGTGATCTGTTCTTGGATGATGCAGGAACTACTCAGTGCTGGGACAGGCTGAGAGCACAAAAAGCCTTTCTGTTTTTGGCTCATGTGCATGCCTCCTAGACTGTTCTGGTCTACTAGTGAATGTGTCCTGACATGTGTAACTGCTAAAATATGAAACATTTAAAAATATTTTGTAGTGATATTGACTACTGCTTCAGCTGCTGAATGCACCAGAAGTGGTGAATTTTGGTGGGTTTATATTTAAGTTGGAAGTGATGTTTCTGACTTTTTGAGTGATCATGAAAAAAAGTAAGTGGCCTGAAGTGCAAAGAATGAGTTCTCAAAGTAGGAAGTAAATAGTTAAACTTCAGTCAGCATGGGCTTGCATAAAACTGATGTACTCTTTACATCCCTCTTAAAGTTTCAGAGTGTTACATGTGATGCATCCTGTTGTGCTCTCTTCTATCAATAACTGCCACAGAGGATGGCTTAAAACCAGCCTTGAGTCAAGTGATGTGATGTACAGAATGGGAATAAACTCACAAAAGCAATACAACACAGCAAAATGCCTGATGATTGCACAGATGGCTTTGAAGATTATCACACTATGGAGGCAGAATAACAGCTCCCTGCAGTGCAGATCTTGGTCCCAGGACCATCACACAGCAGGATGGTGATGAACAGAAAAGTGGATAAATTCCCTGCTTGGCTATTTCTAATAGAGGTGTTATATAACGTGGTGATCTGATATTACTTCTAAGTGCTTTTTAAAGAGGAGATCCTGCTCCTACCAACC